TTTCCATAACTTTATCTTCTAGTTCACCTATTCTCTCCTCTGCCTCTTCAATCTGAGCTGTCGTCGTTTCCATTTTGTTTTGTATTTCGTTTAAAGCGCTTTTCAGCTCCTCATGACTGTTCCTTAGTCCCTTGATCTCTGTAGCAAGAGATTCTCTGCTGTCAGCTATACTGTTTTCAAGCCCAGCAATTAATTTTATGACTATTATTCTAAATTCACTTTCTGTTATATTATTTAAATCCTTTTTGATCAGTTCATTAGCTGTTGTTATTTCCTGGAGATTCTTCTGAGGGGAATTCTTCCGCTTGGTCATTTTGGATAGTCCCTGGAGTGGTGAGGACCTGCAGGGCACTTCCCCTGTGCTGTGGTGTATAACTGGAGTTGGTGGGCAGGGCCGCAGTCTGACCTGATTTCTGCCCCCAGTCCACTGCTGGGGCCACAGTCAGACTGGTGTGTGCCTTCTCTTCCCCTCTCCTAGGGGCGGGATTCACTGTGGGGTGGCGTGGCCCGTCTGGGCTACTTGCACACTGCCAGGCTTGTGATGCTGGGGATCTGGCGTCTTAGCTGGGGTGGGTAGGCAAGGTGCACGGGGGCAGGAGGGGCAGGCTTAGCTTGCTTCTCCTTAGGTGATCCACTTCAGGAGGGGCACTGTGGCAGCAGGAGGGTGTCAGATCCGCTGCTGGAGGTTTGGCTCTGCAGAAGCACAGAGTTGGGTGTTTGCGCGGAGTGAGCAAGTTCCCTGGCAGGAACTGGTTCCCTTTGGGATTTTGGCGGGGGAGATGGCGCTGGCGAGTGCCTTTGTTCCCCACCAAACTGAGCTCTGTTGTCCGGGGGCTCAGCAGCTCTCCCTCCCTTTGTCCTCCTGCCTTCCCGCTTTCCGAGCAGAGCTGTTAACTTATGATCTCCCTGATGCTAAGTCGTGCTTGCTGTTGGAACACAGTCCGTCAGGCCCCTCGGCTTTTTGCAAGCCAGACTCGGGGGCTCTGCTTGGCAGGCCAGCCACCCCTTTGGCCCGGCTCCCTCCCGCCAGTCCGTGGAACGTGCACCGCCTCGCCGCCCTTCCTACCCTCTTCCGTCGGCCTCTCGTCTGCGCTTGTCTCCGGAGACTCCATTCTGCTAATCCTCTGGTGGTTTTCTGGGTTATTTAGGCAGGTGTAGGTGGAATCTAAGTGATCAGCAGGACGCGCGGTGAGCCCAGCGTCCTCCTACGCCGCCATCTTCCCCTCAGGATCCCTATTTTTAATTTTAAATAGTGTGTTCTGGGGTCTCTGCTTGGTTCTTTTTTTTATCTCTTTGTTAAGGGTCTTACTGATGTCTTCCACTCTTCTTCTCAAGTCCGGTGGGTATCCTTATAATCATTATTTTTACTTCTCTATCAGGCATAATAGTTACACCTTTTTTACTTAGGTCTCTTGCTGTAATTTTGACCTGTTCTTTCATTTGGGACATATTCTTCTGTCTCCTCATTTTGCCTACCTCTGTGTGTCTATTTCTGTGTTTTAGGAAACTCAGCTACAACTCTTCCTCTTGAAAGTAGAGGTGGGACACTGTTTTAACAAGGCTGTCTCTGTCACCTTCCACAAGGGGTTTGCAGCCCCTTCTGAGACTGTGCCAGCCAAGGCTGCTCAGGAGCTACCGTTTTAATGAGGTGCATTCATCCTCTGTGCGAGGTTGGGAGATGCAATTGACAAGGTTTGCACCAGTTTTCTGGGGAGGGGACCTGTAGTTTTAGGACTGAGGTAGACTCAGCTGGAGGGGGCAAAGCATGGTATAGGGAGGTTAGGTAGTGAATGCCAGTGCCTGGCTGGTTCCTGCAGGTGGCTGTGTGACTATACTGTGGGAGAGGGAGGGAAATATCACCTGCCAGCTCCTTTTTTTCCTGGAGAAGTCCATCAGTGAACTCTGAGATTACTAACTCTCCCTCCTACATGCCCCAGGTATTTTTTCAACTGCTGCTTCTAAGCTGTATATCTTCCCAGGTGTTTCACTGTCTCTTTAAGACTGGGGACTCAGTTTCCTAATGCATGCCCTCCAGACTCTGCCAGAGTGGAACTACTTATTTTTGAAAGTTCTAGGGTTTAAGTCCTGATGGTTGTAAGAACTCATGAAATCCAGCCCCCCTGATTTTCATATTTTTTTAAAAAAATTATTTATTGATTTTGAGAGAGATAGCACCAGCTGGAGAGGGGCAGAGAGAGAGAGGAACAGAGGATCTGAAGTGGCTCTGTGCTGACAGCAGAGAACCGTATGTAGGGCTTGAACTCATGCACTGTGAGATCATGACCTGAGCTGAAGTCCGACACTCAAACCACTGAGCCATCTGGGTGCCCCAGGCTCCTCTTATTTTCAAGGCCAAATGCTACGGGAATTCAACTTCCCCATTCAGGCTCTCTGTGTTGACAGTCTGTTTCTCACCACTCTATGCACCCACAGATCCTTCCCTCCCATGGGTGGTCTGCTGTCCATTTAGGCCCTTACAGCATCTCTGCCCTTTCTACCCTCTTTGATGTACTAGCCTTTTGTCTACATTTAGTTGTGGATTTTTGCTTCTAGTCTTTGGGTCTTTGTCTGGGTTATTTGCACTGGTGTGTTATCTAGTTGTATCTGTGGGATGAGGTGAGTTTAGGGTCCTCCTACTCTGTCATCTTCCCAGGAAGCCCAACAGAGTCTTTCCTCTTGACATTTTAAGTTAAAAACATGTTTAAAAAAATAATTGCATCCATCAGAGCTCTCTGAGTTCTAATTTTTTCTTGTAGTTATTTTCTGTCTGTCCCTTTAGAGCTGCCTTAATGGAGATGCCTCCTTGGATTGTTCAGCTTGGTCTTCCTCTCTGAAGTTGCTTACTCCCATTAGATGGCTTATTATATTTCTATGCCTGTTTATGAATGTGAGTTTTTCAACACATAAATCATATGTACAGAGCTCTTGAGCAGTAGCTAGAAGAGTTGTTTTGTCTTCATTATTACTGTTTCTATTTTTATAGATACTGTGTCCTCTCAGATTTCAATGAGAATAAAAATGTAGATTTAAAACATTTTTTAGGGGGTGCCTGGGTGGCGCAGTTGGTTAAGCGTCCGACTTCAACCAGGTCATGATCTCGCGGTCTGTGAGTTCGAGCCTCGTGTCAGGCTCTGGGCTGATAGCTCAGAGCCTGGAGCCTGTTTCCGATTCTGTGTCTCCCTCTCTCTCTGCCCCTCCCCTGTTCATGCTCTGTCTCTCTCTGTCCCAAAAATAAACGTTGAAAAAAAATTGTTTTAAACATTTTTTAGTTTCTAAAAATAATTTTTTCAGAAGAGAAACATTTGTTCTCTATTTTAAAGATGGTTTTCTGTTTTCATTTGGAGATCATATTTTTCTGATGAGAGACAGTCATTCAAATAATCATTTCTCTGTGTGTAATTTGGCATTGTCTTTGTCTACTTTTAAGATTTTTCTCATTTTACTTGGTTTTCAGCATTTCACTCTGATGAAAATTTGGGAAAATTTCAGGTATTATTTCATTACTTTTTCTATCACTTTCTCTCTTTTCCTTATGGGAATAAAATTACATGTTAGATTTTTGATAGTATCCCTTATGTTCCTCAGTCCCTCTTCATTTTAAAAATCTTTGTTCTCTTTGTCTTTAGATAGGTATTTTCTACTGATGTATCTTCAAATGGCCTGACTTTCCCCACTGTCTTATCCTATTTGCTCCTACCTAGGCTCATCAATTACATTTTTTAAAAATTCAGTTGCTGTATTTTTCTCTACTTTAATTTACATTGGATATTTTTATAGTTTGTATTAATCTACTAAGATTTTTATTATTTCATTCATTATGAACATATTTTCTCTTATTTTGGGTTTTGTAATAATAGTTGATTTAAAATTCTTCTACACTAACTTTAAAGTAGAATCTGTCTTGGGATCACTCTCTGTAGATTATTTTTATCTTTTGAGTAAGTCTCATTTTGCTGTTTCTTCAAATGTCAAGTAATTATAAATTATTGAATATTGGGAATATCCTCTTTAAGCTCTAGATTCTACTATATTCTTCTAGTATGGTTAGTCCTACTTTTGTCTTGTTTTAATATATAAATAATGTTTTTGGATGCAAAACGAAAATTCTGTTTTTAGGAGGAGCTCAATTTGCATTCAGTTCTTTTAGCTTTTGATAGGCTTCTTAGAGTCTTCCCTATGCATATGTGATTTGGGCTTGAGTGAGATTTGGGCAGGGTTTATACAGAGTTTGGGGCTCCTTATCTCAATCAAGCTCTCTTCTTTGTATGACTTGCCCTAAGTTTTGCAGTGATTTCCTTCCTTTGGTTTATAAGGTCTAAGAAATTGTTTTCTATCAGCTATTAGGTGCCCTGTCTGGCTCATGTAGCGCTTGACTTCAGATTACAAGCCAGGAAATAAGAATTTTACCTAGGACTCTTTTCTTCTTCCAAGTGTTACCTTCTCTCAAGAATCTACTTATTTTTGGTTTCTCTTCAGTGTTGATATTTGTTTTTGTTTTGAGTTTGTAGTTTTTATGTGTGGCAGGGTCTGTTCACTAGCAACTTTCTCTGCTGTACCAGAAGCAGAACAGGGGATCTTAGATATGGTTCCTCAAACTGTCTCCTATCTCATGGAGAATTCTTGATACATTTCATGTGTAACATTCACACAAACTCAGAACTGTGTTTATTTTCTGTTAAGAGTAGAGTTGCTTTTTTTCATAAAATTTGAATGTTTATATTTAAATATATCAGGTCTAGAGAAGCAGAGATATGAAATATTTAGCTTATTGTAGTTATAATTTACCAGATTCAAGGTCATTTTTCCTATACAAAATCAATAGGAAGCTACAGCTGCAGAAATTATACACCATTATGCCACAGAAATATGTGAATAAATGTGTATGCTCAAATCATCATCTTGGCTATCTGTGGATTATAGACAGATGATAATTGTAACAATTAATTTATAGAAACAGAGCTACTAAAATGAATATATTTTTCCTTTATATTATATCACAGAAAGTAGCATTTGCTCTGGAAGTTGAGAACAAAGTCCTTCAGGAACAATTGAAACAGGCTTTACAGGTAAATGATATAGGTTATTTTAAAATTGTTAACAAATGAAGGAAATATCTGTAAACAACTTCTAAATGAATGATTTTGACCTTGAAAACGAATAGGCTTATGTGTTGTACTTTTTTGCCAGATTAAAGTATATTCATTCTGGGGCGCCTGGGTGGCGCAGTCGGTTAAGCGTCCGACTTCAGCCAGGTCACGATCTCGCGGTCCGTGAGTTCGAGCCCCGCGTCGGGCTCTGGGCTGATGGCTCGGAGCCTGGAGCCTGTTTCCGATTCTGTGTCTCCCTCTCTCTCTGCCCCTCCCCCGTTCATGCTCGGTCTCTCTCTGTCCCAAAAATAAATAAACGTTGAAAAAAAAAATTAAAAAAAAAATAAAGTATATTCATTTTATGTACTAGGATATATTAATAAAATTTAATACTCATTCTTATTAAAAATGGTAAACTAGATAGAAAGAAAAGTAAACTTGCTTAATCAAATAAATCTATTTGAAGCTGAGACACTGTTATATGTGAAATCCTGCAGGCATTCCAACTAAACTCAATTAAACTAGGATGCTGGTTTTTTACCACTCTTTGAAATTTGTGTTAAACGATCAAAGAAAGGAAAAAGCTACAAACATTTTCATAAGTGGATAGACAAAAGTATAATTATTTGTATATTAATTTTCCTTTGGAAAAATGCAAGATAATACACAAATTTATTAATGATATAATTCAAAAAGCTGGCTGAGGGCAAAATAGATATAAAAAAGCAATAGAAGAAGGCTGGGAAAATGGTGCAATAGGAGGACTGTAAGCATACTTCACTCCAGATACAGCTAGATAACACTTATATCAGCATAAATAATCCAGAAAACAATGTGAAGCCTGGCAGAACAAACTCCATGAGTAAAGGTAGAACAGAGGCCACATCGAAGGGGGTAAGAGTGAGGACATGTCCCCAGAAGGGAGGGATGCAATGGATGAAGAGAAGGAAGTGAAACAGATTGTCACACTGGGGAGTCCACATGGGAAAGATGAATTTTTATAACATTTGGTTTTGAAAACAAGAGGCTCCAAATTTCATGAGTTCTTACAAGTAGCAGGACTTATGGCCTAGAAATTTAAAAATTAGCGGGCTGGTTCTGGGAGAACCCAGAGGGCATTAGGAAGCTGAGTCCTGCCCTTAAAGAGACAGCACAACAAATAACCTGTAGAAAGAGCACAGTTTGAAAAATGCCTGGAGTATATGGGAAGGAGAGTTATTTACCCTCCAGCATAAACACAGAGCCACCTGCTGGAACCAGTATGGTGCCAACATTCACTATCTAACTTGCTTACACCAAGCCTCAACCCCTCACCCTTCACCAGACTCAACCTTCGTCATCACATTTACCTCAGTCCTGGTGCTGTGGGTCCCTTTCCCCAGAAGACTCATGCAACCATCACCATCACCTTGTCTCTTGGCCTGCTTGTTTTGTGGGGCATTGGTCCTGGCAGTGGTGGCAGGTCTGTGGAAGCCCAAGGTGTAACCTTGTTAAAATTGTGCACCCCACCCATACAGCACTGGTCCTGGCAATGCTGGCAGGTCTTATTTCACAAGCAGACTGCTGTGCATCTTGTAAAATGTGCTCCTCCATGGCCAGGGACCAAACACTGCCAACAGCAGGCAAAGGGAACCTCTGCAGATAACTGGAGTGAAGGAAAAAGTGGCTAGGACACAACAGGAAGGTATATACAACACACATAGGCGATACCCCCTGAGAACCAGTTTCTTGGGACAGGGGACACTACATTGGGGCACTACAGGACCTCTTCTTCATAAGGCCACTTTTCAGAGCAGGAGATGTAGCTGACTTTCCTAAAATACAGAAGCAGACACACAGAGTTAGGTGAAATGAGGAGACAGAGGAATATATCCCAAATGAAAGAATAGGACAAAAATCATAGCAGGAGACCTAAGTGAGACAGATATAAGTGTTATGCCTGATAGAGAACTTAAAGTAATGATTATAATGATACTCATTCGACTTGAGAAAAGAGTAGAAGACATGAGTGAGACTCTTAAGAAAGAGATAAAAAAGAACCAAGCAGAGACCCAAGAGCATGCTAATTGAAATTAAAAATACACATGGCAGTGTGCCTGAGTGGCTCAGTCAGTTAAGTGGCTGACTTTGGCCCAGGTCATGATCTCACGGTTTGTGGATTTGAGCCTCATGTTGGGCTCTGTGCTGATAGCTCAGAGCCTGGCGCCTGCTTTGGATTCTGTGTCTCCCCTTCTCTCTGTCCTTCCCTTGCTCCCTCCCTCCTTCTCTCTCTCTCTCAAAAATAAATAAACATTACAAAAAAAAAAAAAGAAAAAAAAAAACCTCATGATGGACAAAATAGCAGACTAGAGGAAGCAGAGGAACAAATTAATGACCTGGAAGAGTCATGGAGTAATGGAAAGCAATCAAGCTGAGCAAGTTAAGAGAAAAAGAAATTATGCAAAATGAGAATAGAGTTAAGGAATTCAGTGACTTGATCAAGCATAATATTTTCAGTATGGGATCCAAGAAGAAGGAGAGACAAAAGGGGGCAGAAAATTTATTTGAAAAAATAATAGCTGAAAACTTCCCTAATCTGAGGAAGGAAATAGATATCTAGATTCTCCTGGATCTGGATTGAACACATGGTAATCAAAATGGCAAAAAGTAGTGATACAGAAACATTTTTTTAAAGCAGCAAGAGAGGAGACAGGGAGATCGTGGCAGAATAGTAGGACCCTAGACTCACTTTGTCTCAAAAATGTAGCTAGATAACTATGGAATCACTCTTAAATGCCCCAGAAATTGACCTGAAAACTGACAGAACAAACTCCACAACTAAAGATAGAAGCTACATCAAAGATAATAGAAAGTGCAAAGATGTGGTTTAGGGGAGAAACAGATCCTGACTGTAGTAGAAGGGAAGTAGCTGTGGTCATGAAGAAGGGTGAGGGAGAGAAGGATATGCAAGGAAATGCACAGAAGAATGTCTCCCCAAAGCCCAGTGGCTTGGAAAACAAGAGGGGCTGAATTTAATGAATTCTTACAATGAGCAGAGCTTAAAGCCTGGAGTTTTAAAAGTTAGCAGGCTTAGCTGGGATAGAGCCCAGAGGGCAGTGTACTGTTCCTGGAGAGAAGGCAGACATACAAATTGGAGACATACAGTGTGGAACCAGTGATCTAAAGAGCACCTGGGGTACACAGTGAGAAGATTATTGCTCTTCTTAGAGCAATAATGACAGGAAGCATTCATAGAGACACCTCTCTGTGGGACAAAGGAGCTAGCCATCATTTCTCTGACCTACCCCTTAGCATAAACACAGAGCTACCTGTGGGAAGTAGTGCAGTGTGGACACTAGAAATCTAAATTTGCTTACCTTAAGCCCCATTCCCCTGTATTCCAGTGCAACTGCCCTTCCCAGTCACACTTACCTCAGTCCCATTACAGTTGGCCCCTCTCCCAGAAGACCAGCACAAATTCCTGCCCACATCACGTCTCTCAACCAAAGAGGTTTCTCAGTTCCAGTGAGGTGGAGACAGTTCTCATTTCACAAGGAAACCAGAGCACACTTAATTAAAACTCACCACATTCAGGTCAAGGATCAAACACTGCCTGTAGCAAGCAAGGAGAGCCTCTGTAGATGACTTGCCTGAAGGATAGAGCAGCCAGAACAGAACAGCAGAGTGCGTGCAGCACACACCAGAGACCCTCCCTGAAGCACGAGGCCCTGGACACTACATGACCTCTTCTTCATAAAGCCAATACTTTCAAGAGCTGGAGACATAAGTGGCTTTTCTAGCACACAGAAGAAGGTAGAGACTTAGACCAAATGCAGAGATGGAGGAATTTATCCCAAACAAAAGAAGATAAGTCCATGGTTAGAGATCTAAGTGAAACAGATATAAGTAACATGCCTGATGGAGAATTTAAAGCAACAATGATAAAGATACTCACTGGGCTTGAGAAAAGCATGGAAGACATCAATCAGTGAGATCCTTACCACAGAAATAAGACAGTTGAAGTATCAATCAGAGGTGAAAAGTATAATAAGTGAGATTAGAAAGATACTTGATGCAATGAACAGCAGGCTGAAAGAAGCAGAAGAATGAATTAATGACCTAGAAGACAAAATAATAGAAAGCTATGAAGCTGAACAAAAGAGTGAAAGAATTATACAAAGTGATAATAGACTTAGGGAACTTACTGACTCCATCAAAGGTAATAATATTCATATTATAGGAGTCCCAGAAGAAGAGAGAGGAAGGGGGGCATTGCTAAATCTTCCCTAATCTAGGGAAGGAAACAGACATCCAGATCCAGGAGGCATAGGGAACTCCCATCAGAATCAACAAAAGCAGGCTTACCCCAAGACATATTGTAATTAAATTTGCAAAATATAGTGATAAAGAAAAATATCTTAAAAGTAGTGAGAAGAAAGAAGTCATTAACCAACAAAGGAAAACCAACTAGGCTAATAGATTTTTCAACAGAAACTTGGCAGACCAGAAGGGAGTGGCATGATATATTCAAAGTGCTGAAGGGTAAAATATGCAGCCAAGAATACTCTATCTAGCAAGGCTATAATTCAGAATAGAAGGAGAAATAGAGTTTTCCAGGCAAGTAAAAACTAAAGGAGTGTGTGACCACTAAACCAGCTCTGCAAGAAGTATTAAAGGGGAGTTGTTGAGTGGAAAGGAGGGACCACAAGTGATAGTATAAAGACAGAAAACATAAAAAGAGTAAAAATGAATATTTCTATAAGAAATCAGTCAAGTAATTCACAGAAAAAGAATCTAAAATATAACACATATACCTGAAATGTGGGGAGGAAAGGAGAAAAGAATGGGTTCGAAATTAAACATCAACTTAATATAGACTGCTATTTGCAGGAGAGGTTATATACAAACCTAAAGGTTACCACATATCAAAAAACGCTAATAAACATGCAAAGAATAAAGAAAAGAAATCCAAATATATCACTAAAGAAAATCAGGAAACC